CCGAAGGAGAAAAGTCTGAACAAAGGGATGAGTTGGAGTTGCAGTCTTCTAATTCTGATGTATGTAGTGTGTTTGGCAATTTCTTTGTCAGTTTTGTTTAGTTGAATTACCGGTCAGATAAGTTTGTTTTGCGCATGTTTTTTTAGTTAGTGTGCTAACTGAGTTCTTCTATTTAGGAATCTGGTTCTTCTGGTGCTGCTGATGACAATAACAATGATGGGGATGGGAGTGACAGTGGCGAGAGCACAAGTAATGAATCTATAGTGAGTGCTGTTTTGCTCTATTCATAGTTTTTTTTGTTTTATTTTGGCAAATGGATTAAGTAGCACCTTGTACTTATTTGGAGACATAACTTATATGTATGAAGTTGTATGGTCAAGTTTTGTTTACAAGTTAGTATGTTGAAGTTGACTTCTATAACTTTTGTGTTCAACTTTCAGACATAACTTGTCTGGTTTACTTGTGTTCTGCAAGTTATTATGTTGAACTTGTTGAGTAATGTTTTATTTGCAAGTTAGTATGTTCAAGTTGCATGTTTAAGTTTATGCTCCTAACTTATAAGGCATGATACTGCATTTCAGCTTAAGTTTTTAATCAATACACTTGTATTTGTCTTTTGGATTCATTAAACAGTTATGTTAGTTTTTAATCAAGGAAATGTTACAAACATAGGGTGTTATTTCTTTCCCTGTTACTGGGAGTAATGGTCTTAAGATCTAGATTTCTTTTTGTTGTGCCGCTTGTTGTTTGACTCTTAGTAACAGGATGTTATCAGTGACATGTCAGTGTGGAACTTTTTCTTAATAGGCTCAATTGCTTCAGCAGTAGTACACCTGATAATGTAATGCAACCAGCTTCATCTCGCTTTCATAATTTTGATGATTATTGGGATGAAGACACTTTCAAGCAGTTAGATGACGCATTTTTGGTGATTCAAAATATGAGATCCATCAAATCTCTTAGAATGGAATTTGAATCTCCACAAGAAAGTTCAATACCTTCTAAAGCATTCTTCTTCAAGCATGTCTTCATTTCAAATGTTGTAGAGAAAGCTGTTCATCGGTATATTGTTTCTAATATTCCTGGTCCATATCCTGCTAGAAGATAACTTCTTCTAGTTCTTAGCCTACCAAACTATTACATTCTATCTAGTTACAAGATGACTATGATTTAACGTTTTAATCACTTCTTCTCCTCTCTCAGCCTTAGGATTATTAAAATGTTGAATGTCCATTGGATAGATCACCGGACATTTGACTGTCGATGCAAGTTTATGGTTCAGTCTCTGCTCATATTATGAACATTATGGGAGTTGCAGTAATGGAAGAGCAATTTCGTAAACATTTCTCGGATTCTCTACCTTCGTCTGAGTGGTGCAAATATATATTTTCCAACTCTGTTTCTGTGAGTTCCTTGTTCATTCTTATTTTACATTTGGTTCTTTTTCAGATAATTTATTCATAAGCATCTCTTATTTTTTTCATAATTGGCATTAATTAATTTGTTGTACTTATTTTTGCACATAACTTGTATGTATAAAGTACTGGTATGAACTGTGCTAATATTTTTCCTTATCTTAAACTTGTTTTATTAAATTACATGCATGTAGTTAACTTGTATATTGTAGTTATTATATGTTGTAGTTTTTGTATTATGTTTTAAGTTTTTTGTCAAACTTTTATGTCTACCTTTGTGCACATAACCTGTACATATTAAGTTTGTGTCAAAATTTTTATATCTAACTTTCTTCACATGTATAAAGTTCTGCACATAACTTGTATGTCTAACTTTCTTCACATAAGTTTATGTCTAAATTTGTTGACATAATATGTAGCTATTAACTTTTATATCTAACTTTTTTTGCACATAAGTTGTTTGATTTATTATATTTTGCACATAACTTTTAGTAATTAACTTGTGTGTTGGACTTGGTTTATTAAATTATATGCTTAAGTTTTGTTTTGCTACTTGTACGTCTAACTTTTTATTCTCAAATGGGTACTTAATTACCCATTGTGATAATGCTTTTCAATATGTATTTATTAAATCTTATATGCATATTTGTCAGCTTGAACTTCAAAATGCCGATCTTGTTCCAAGTGATATTTCTTATCACTTCTAAGAGAGATACGTTGGATACGGTCTAGACAATGCTGACCTTGTGAGTTTTTTTAATTTAATTTATTCCATACTATCTATATGTGTGTGTGGCTTTGTGATATACGTGTCCTTTTCTGTTTAAAATGAGGAGAAATGTTATGTTTTATGAATGGATTTGTCATATTCATTTCCTGTTGAAATTCATAAAATCTTTTTTGTTTTTGTCTAAAGATTTTTGTTCCAGCTTGCAAGAATAGATATTGGTATGTTGTTATTGCAAACACGAGGGAACATAGGTTTGAAATTATCTGTCCATTTAAGGACTTCAGTATTGTCAAAGAAGATGCTCTCGTAACTGTGAGGAGCTTTCGCAAAGTCTTCAAGTTTTCATATCCATTATCAAGAAAAGTTGATGTTTACAGGATGGGTATTACTTTTGGTAGTGTGTCCAATTCAACTAGCCAATATGCTTCTTTTAACTTATTCACCACTTTTTTGGAAAATTCTTATTATTTGTTAAACCTTTTAAAGTATTAATATTTAAAAAAAACATTATTTACAGAAATGACAGTGGAGTTTTTGTTCTTGAATTACTTAAATCTTATGATGGCCTAGCTCACTTTTATTTCAAAGAGTTATTACTTTGTTCTTGAATTATGGCTTTGTCAAGTTCTATTTTTTAAAACTGTGATCATTTGATTAGGGCATTGTCTACATCTTCAGATTAGTTAACAAGATGTTTTTCAAAATTTTATGCTATGCAGGAGCATGCAAAACCTATTCATGAGGCATTGACATACTATTTGTGCACCTATGAGGAGAATGAATTCTTGTTACCTGCAATACGTGACATAGCTGAGCAATATGTAAGGTTTCATATTTGTACCTATTATTTTGTCTGTGATGGAATCCTTATCTTTGCTCCTTCTTAAACTTGTCAGGGTATAAAGCTTTCAAATTATACATGAACAAGGTATAACATATATGATTTTCTACTTAACTTATTACATTCATTGTTATTGAAATAGTTTATTTTTATAGATTTGTGCTATATAGTCTTTTTGTGATCGTATGTTAAATAACAGAGTTATTTATCTGTCTTTTTGTTTTTCATGTCTATACTGCCTAAGTTAGTTCATTAGGTTATTGTACTGAGTTATGTATCTAACTACTCTTTTATGTGTATGCTACCTAACTTACTTGATTAACTTCGTGTACAAAGTTATGTATCTAACTTGTGTTTTCATGTGCTTGCATGCTAGCTAACTTATTTGACTAACTTACTGTTAAGAGTAATACATCTAACTTGTGTTTTGTATTTGTTATTTTAAATATTAAAATATTTTGCGGATCTTCCAATTGAAGAAACAGATATGATCAATGTCATAGTTATAGAGATGCTGAGATTATCGCTGCAGAAGTTATGAAAGTTATAATTTATCTGGTTCTGGAAGTTTGCATCATATTATGGAATTTACTCTATAGTATAGGTTGTAAAAGTTACTTTTATTTCATCCCCCTACCCTTCTATAAACCCTTTTCCCCATGTCCCGAATGATTAGTTTCTGAAAAGAGAAAAAAAAGGCTGATGAAACCTAAAAGAGAATGTGGGAGCACTGCTAAGTTAGCACTGTTAAGTTATTCGTCGAAGTTATGCTGTCTAATTCAATTATCTAAGTTATGTGCGCATGGTTCTAAAAAAAGAAAATGTGGGAACGCGTGAGATCCGGCGCGTCTGCGCCCAGCATGTGTCCGAAAAGATAATGGAATGTCTGCGCACCCGAAAAGAGAGAGAGAATAGTATACTATCCTAAAATAGTGTTAGGTGCGAATGAATGCTTTCCTATTTAGACAAAAGTTGCTGTCTGAAATTCATTCGATGGTTCATTCTAAATGAACGTTCGTCATTTAGTGGCGTCGGCCCCGGTGGAGCGATGTCGCAGCCGGCGCAGGGTGCAGGCTCGGTGGAGGTCGTAGTTGCCGTCGGGGCGCAGGTGCGGAGGCGTTCCGGCGCCGCGGGCGGCGGAGGTCGGAGGAGCGCTTCGGTGGCCTCGCCGCGGTGCCGTACGATGGAGGAAGGCGTTTCTTTTTGTTCTCTTATATTTACTCGTCCTGTTCGCTTGGCTTATAAGCCGTACTTTTTCGGCCAACGAACAATATTTTTCTCTAACAACAAATCAACCAACAGTACTTTCAGCCATGTTATCAGCCAAGCGAACGGAACAACTATCTGCAGGCGGCGCTGTGTTGGCCCCTTGGGCTGTGGTGTCAATGGGAGGAGGGCAGCAGCGGTGGACAGCGCAGAGGAGGCGTGAGGGCCATCCGGTGGCTGCAGGAAGGATCGGACGGCCATGGGAGAGGGACTGTGTATGAATAGTGATCTGTGAGAGGAAATTAAAGGGCACTGTAGCTAAGTCAGCACGTTTAGAGATCTCTATAGATAACAGCATGAACAAAAGAATGCAAATCGATCGTGTATGCAGCTGGAAAGGAGCAAATTTTGTCGCATGTGATGTTGCGGTTCAGTTGAGTACGTACGGTGGAGAGTCTCACGTTTGAACTCAGCTTAAATGGTTATCCTTCATTATTGATCATCAAGGTAAGATAAACTGCATATCGGGATTACCGGCGACAAATAAATAATCCAACTTTACTTAACCGCAACCACTCCGTGGTAAAAATTCACACAGAAGTGCAGACGAACCACGGCACGAAACCTACTCAAAATTCTGTCCACGGCGTTCATATTGCTAATGCTAACACTGTCAAGGCGCTATAAAAGGGAGACAGGAAATCAGGAATATGCACACCTTCGCCATCCATTTCCATCGCTCTACAATACTCGTAGAACAACTTCCTAAAGTTACTAGCTATTCAAGTTGGGCACGCTCGATCAAGCCATGGCAAACCAAGCTCTAGCTCCATTCGTGCTCGTGGCCTCCCTCTTGGTGGCGTTCCTTGCCACATGCCATGCCGGTGGCATCGCCGTCTACTGGGGCCAGAACGACGGCGAGGCGTCCCTGTCCGATACGTGTGCGTCAGGGAACTACAAGTTCGTCATCCTCGCTTTCGTCTACAAGTTCGGCAAGGGCCAGACGCCGCAGCTGGACCTCGCCAGCCACTGCGACCCCTCATCGGGTGGCTGCACGGGGTTGAGTGACGACATACGTTCGTGCCAGAGCAGCGGCATCAAGGTCCTGCTCTCGATCGGCGGCGGTGACGGCAGCTACGGCCTGTCGTCCCAGGGGGACGCGCGGGACGTGGCCGCCTACCTCTGGAACAATTACCTGGGCGGCACGTCGTCGTCGCGCCCCCTCGGCGACGCCGTCCTTGACGGCATTGACTTCGACATCGAGCTCGGCGGCTCCAAGTACTGGGACAGCTTGGCCAGGTAAACTCTCGCAGCCTGCTTCTCGTCGTGGCACGCTCGGTCGTGTTGGTTAACTCCGCGTTTGCTCGCTCACCGCCTCCACCCTGGCCGCACGCCGTGCAGGGACCTCAAGAACATGGGCAAGAACAAGGTCGGCGGCAAGGGGGTGCTCCTGAGCGCGGCGCCGCAATGCCCGTTCCCTGACGAGTGGGACAACGGCGCGATCAACACAGGGCTGTTCGACTACGTCTGGGTGCAGTTCTACAACAACCCTCCGTGCCAGGTGAACGCAGGCCGCGGCGCGTTCATGGACGCGTGGAAACAGTGGGAGTCGGTTCCGGCGGGGCAGATCTTCCTAGGCCTGCCAGCCTCCAAGGACGCGGCCGGCACCGGGTTCGTGCCCGCCGACGATCTCAACTCTAACGTGCTGCCGCTCATCAGGGGATCGCCCAAGTACGGCGGCGTCATGCTCTGGTCCAAGTACTACGACGACCGCGCAGGCTACAGTGACGCTATCAAGAGCCACGTGTGATAATTAGACATATTCAGGATGTGACTGCCTGTGCATACACATATGCTTGGTGTTAGCAGATCTTTCATATTTATGCGATTTATTGTACTTTGTGTTGTTGGTGGTTCTTCAGATTTCATTGTTCGTCACATGTAGAATGTATCAGGCAGCGGAATAAAAAGGAGAGATGTTTTGTAAGGGGAAAGCACCATTCTAGTTTCAGAAGATATCAAAGCCACCCAATGACCGACCCAAGATTTCAAAGTTGGGTATATCCAAGTAAAAACCAAAGGAGCCTCAAATTTACTTCCCCCGTCGCAAATTATAAAACGTTTTGGTATTTTTCTAGATTTATTATAGATTTTATATTATATATCTAGACATAACATATATTTAAGTGTGTAGTAAAAGCTATGAATTTAGAAAAGCCAAAACGTCTTATAATCTGGACCGTCGGGTGTGCCAATGGGCTGGTGAGTAATGAGTGGTTGCGATAGGTAAATAGGCCACATGGGTTGTTCTTTGTTTGGATGAATAAGATGAAGAGAATATGAATTTTTAAGCTTAACTATATTATATATTTGCATATACATACGAACTATAATTTTTTCCTACAAATGTTGGACATGTCTAGAAATATCCGGGCACAATAGCAGGATCCGGCCCTGTGAAGCCACCATGCCTCTGATCATATAGATCAGACCTGTACTCGACTACTGACCTACTTCATCAACAATAGAAACAAACGATCAGTCGACCGCGCAGGCACATGACGGGCTGGTAACTTGAGGCACGAGGACTCTCCTGGTGTGATTGATCGATTCACTCCTACATGCTACAGGGATCATCAATCAGCATGCGGCACACTTCCGACCTGGTCGACAGTCAGCCAGCCAGTAGCGTGTGATTACAGGGTTTCTCGCCATGTGGACTCTTAAAAAAAAACCAAGAGAGCAATTTTACATTTTTACTGTTTTATTACCACCACGATTTACGAACCTGCTCGAGTATGCATGTTTTTCTGCAAACAACAAATCCATTTGTGACGTTCCAAGGGCCAGGCCTGTAGGCTGTTGTCAGTTTCCATATGAAGGGCAGTCTAGTAGTCTAGTACTTCACCCCTTAAATAGCTCCCAAGCAGACAAGCAGTATGTCTTAGACGGCAATCACCATGACTGCAGGGGAATGAAGCATGAATGTTGCTGCACCTGACATCAACCGAAATGTACTTAATTTTCACGAAGCTGAAACTGAAAGGATTGGTATAGAAATGGAACAAGCCAAGGAGCACGCCTACTTCGTTTGGCCGGCTGTCCACTCTTCCGTCCACGAGCGCCACCCTGATATGGCGGACCAGTTACTATCTATAGGCCCATCCCGTGAGTCCGTGACGCTCACATTGCTAATATTATTGGTTAAGAGCAACTCCATGGGAGCCCCTAAAGAAGCCCCTATTCCAATTTTAGGGGCTTGAGCAAAAAAAACCACTCCAATGGGGCTCCTACTTGGACTCCCATTTTAGGAGAACTCCCAAAATTTAGTTTCAGGTCCCCATGAACCAGGGGCTCCTATTCCGCCCCCGACGCCCTCCCGCCGCCACCCCATCGCCACGGCCGCCGCTCCTCTTCCTGCACGCAGCCGCATCCTTCTCCTCTCCACACGAGCACCGCGGAAGCTCCTCCCCACAGCGACTCCTCCCGGCTCCTCCCGGCGGTCCGGCGAGACCCCGCAGATCCGGCGAGGTCCTGGTCTGACGAGCCTCCTCTTCCTCTTCTCCCGCCGGTTCTGCTCCTATGGACGGCAGCGCGTCAGGAGGATTCTCCAAAGGCGGGCTGCCTCCCCGTCCGTCGGTGTCTACCACGCGACGTCGTGCTCCGTTCGTCACGCCGCATTCCCGTCCTCCCACGTCGTCTTCTCTCGACGCCAACCTGCCTGGTCGCCAAGAACATCCTTCTCCCGGCGGCGGCAGTGGTGGCAGGATGCCTTCTCCCGCCGGCAGCGGCAGCGGCAGCAGGATGCCTTCTCCCGGCGGCGGCGGCAGTGGTGGCCGGATGCCTTCTCCCAGCTGCGGCGGCGTTGGCGCCGGCGTCGGCTTCTCTCGTCGGCTCCCCAACGACCCACCTCCACTCAGCCCTTGCGCGTTGAACTTCACAGAGCCTCACGCCGCCACCTGGGACGCCTGCAGAATGACAACATCACCAGCAGAAGTGTACGAGGTCGCCGGCGACGACTTTAGCCCCAACCATTGGACGTCTGACTACTCGGTGAGTTTAGCCCCAAAGATTATGTTCTATATGCTCCAAAGATTAGTGTCTCAATGTGAATGCCATCTGACGCCAATGGGTCTGAATGCCATTTGAGTTCTGATGCTAATATTTTGTGTGAATGTGAAACTGAATTTTTGGTGCATGCACAACTGATGGACATGTGACCTCAATGTCTGCAATGACAGCTCCGAGTTGGGATAGATTTGGTGTTAGTTGGGGAGGGATTTTCTAGCTGAGCATCATTTGGTTGTTGGCATGCTCAATTCTTGTCATGAGCAGTTGTCATGCTGTGAATTTTTTTATCAGTCATGAATACTAGCAGTCGCAGTAGATGGCATTCAGTTAGATCGTTGACTATCTATTTGCCACTGTACTCATTTTCAGTTTCACTGAAAATTGACTGTCTCTTATTCTTTGCAGCAACCATGGGCTTCAAGTTCACAATATTTCACAAACATAATGACACAGGAAAAGGATGATGATTTAGAATTGGTGAATCAGCAGGCTGCCACTCCAAGTACCGGCGGGAAAGGAGCATCCAAGCGAGGCAGTAACTACACTGGTCTTGAAGATATCCAACTTTGTAAATCCTAGATTCATATCAGCAATGACCCTATCATAGGGAATGATCAGGCAGGAAAAACTTATTGGGAGAGGATTGCTAATGATTTCCACAGGAACAGGGACTTTGAGTCCGATAGGACTCCAAATTCACTCGAGCATCGCTTTGGAATCATACTAAAGGAGTGCATGAAATTCCAAGGCTACTACAAGGAGGTCGAGCGTCGTCATCCAAGTGGCGTCCCATACAAAGAACGTGTATGTCATCTTGCACTTGGTTCATCCCATATGTTGTCGCTGCTATATATCTAATCACGCACTTGATCTTTGCTGCAGTTGCTGGAAGCCCATGAAAGGTATGCCAGAAAAGCGAAGGGCAAAAAATGTCAATTCAAAGAATGCTGGCTCACGTTGAGGCATACTCAGAAGTTTGAATCAACACTTGAAGTCAGCAAGAGGCCGGCCAAGTCCAGAGAGCTCAACCTCTTCGTAGGAACTCAATAAGACTATGACTCAACTGCCCAAGGCCAAGAGAGCTCTTCAATTCCTTCTGCCAAGACAACCCAACCTCCGGGTAGAAAGCAATCCAAAGAGAAGCTGAAAAAAAATGAAGGAGAGGATGAGTACAAGGATATGATGCAAACCTTAGTGGTACTCAAGACCGAGGAATATAAGATGAAGAAGGAAAGGTGGGACGAGGATATGATGCTTGAGCAGCACAGGATTGAGGTGGAAGAGCGGCGTCTGCAGTGGGAGCAAGAACAGAAAGTTATGTTTTGTGATGTCACCACCATGGATGATGATCAAAGGGCATATGTGAAGGCAAAGAGAGCTCGGATTGTGAAGGAGATGAGCGGTAGTGTAAGCGAGACGGCTAGTGGTGAGAGTGGAGTGTAGGTTTCGTGAGAGTGGAGTGGTCATTTCTTAAGTTTATGTCTCAAGAAAATTAACATCTTATTGCTCTCTGTTGTTATTGCTCTCTGTTGAAAAGCTTGCTGTGTTCTTCAGTTCAATGAGGGTACTATGTGTAATATGAACTATGTAGTCTGCAAACTATGGTTGTGCCTTGGTCATTTGTGAAAGACATTTTCCTTCAGTTTGAATTATGTGCCTTGCTCTCTGTCTTTGCTTGATAATCAGTGTACTGAATCTGAATGTGCTACATAATATATTACATTTCATTCCCAACAGTTCAGAGAAAGCTTGCCTAGCTCTAGGACTATTATACATTTTTACTTTCATTCACAAAAGTTCAAAAGCATGCCACTTCCATTCAGTGTTGCTTCACTGCTACTAAAAACTGAACCAAAGTGTTATAGTATAAGTGGTAGAAAAAGTGCTTCACTGGTTGTTTATGCCACTGCACAACACATGACTTTTGTAGCAGCTGATGTCCTGCAGCAGTTGATGTCCTTCATTGAGACTGTACCCAAGAATCCAGAACATATAAGCAATTTGCTAACCACAGCAGGAAGCCTCAATCATAAATCAAAAGCATCAAAATCCCTGGTGTAATTAAACATTATGAATAGTTCAAATATGCAGAATAACAGCAGTAGTTAAATAATTACAACTGGAAAGCTCTTGCAAGTGAATAAGTTTACTGAGCTGCCAAACATGCCCTATCCAATTTCTGCAACACAACTCTCATTCAGATGGCCATGCAAACCAAGAATATAGGAAAAAGACACATACAGTCCTAACTATCTAGAACTATTAGTTCTAACTATCTAGAACTATGAATTGCCCACAAGTGCTCTACAAGGTCATCCCGAAGTCGCTCATGTGAAGACCTATCCTCAATCTCGTTGTGTATCTTCAGGAAGTCCTCTAGCACAAGCGGATTACGACGTTGGTAGTCCATAGGTTGCAACACAGGGACACCCTCCAGATGGTAGTTAAAATCATCTTCCTCATCTCGCTCATCCTCAATGATCATGTTGTGCAAGACTACACAAGCTTGCATTATATACCATAGATCTTCCTTGTCCCACATTCTTGCAGGACCCCGCACAATTGCAAAGCGAGCTTGGAGTACCCCAAATGCTCTTTCCACATCTTTCCTCGTTGCTTCTTGTGCCATTGTGAAGTGGATCTTCTTGTTGCCCTGTGGATGTTGAAAAGCTTTGACAAACGTTGCCCAGGCTGGGTATATCCCATCAGCAAGATAGTACCCCATTGTGTACTTGTTTCCATTGACCATGTATTCCACATGTGGCGCCGTCCCAGAAGTCAGACTCTGAAATAGTGGAGAGCGGCGCAAAACGTTGATATCATTTAGAGAACCAGGAAGGCCGAAGAATGCATGCCATATCCATAAATCTTGTGATGCAACGACCTCAAGGATCATGGTCGGCCCATCTTCCTTCCCTTCGTATGCTCCTCTCCAACCTATTGGGCACTTGTCCTATTTCCAATGCATGCAATCAATGGAACCAAGCATACCTGGGAACCCCCTTGCACTATTAATTGCCAATAGCCTGGCTGTGTCCTGGGCATTGAGGGCCCTCAAGTATTCTTCACCAAAGACATCGACGACAGCCTTCACAAAATGTTTCAGACACTCAATGATTGTGCTCTCTCCCATCCTCACATACTCATCCAAGAAGTCTGCTGAAATACCGTAGGCAAGCATCCGAACGGCGGCAACAACCTTCTGTATGGGAGAGGCGCCAAGAGTTCCGATGGCATCGGGCTTCTGACGGAAATAGTCATCATGAGACTCCACTGCATCCACTATCCGCAGAAAGAGAGACCTGGACATCCGAAACCTCCTTCTGAAATGTTTCTCAGTGTATACACACTGGTCCGCGAAGTAGTCCAGATAGATGCGATTGTGACCTTCAGAAATGTTCCGTGGCACTTTGCGGCGACCCGGCAACGATCCACGAAACTTTTTCTTGCACTTGTTTCTCCTCGAGCCCTCAAGAAGACCAGCAATGATGAAGAGGTCGTCATCATCAGATTCATCCTCTTCATCCCTCCCTCGACGAGCTCTAGTTCCAAACCTTGACATCTGCCATAGCAACAAAATGTTTAGGTTCTTGTAGTGTATTAATGACTCATCAGATTCATGACTCAATGATATAATTGGCATACACACTGCATACTGTATGCTTCAACACTGCATACTGTATGCTTCAACACTGCATACTGCATACACATTGCAGATGTGTTCTAGCACAAACTAGTATGCTTCAACACTTGTAATGCTTACATAAATGCAACTTAATCTCCACTGTCTAAAACAATTGAGTATAGTAATCAACTAATTCATGCATCCCCACTGTCTAAAACAATACTACAGGTACATCAATTGAACTAATTTGAGGAGAAATTAAACTGAATACTGTATGATCAGTAACTGAATATGCATTGAGAACTGAATAAGCAGTAGCTAGTAGCAGACACTACCCCATCTCTATACCAATACATCTCGGAATCAAAGTCCATGCTGTTGCTAGGTGCACCTTGGAATTGGACTATGCATTGTCACTGAATACTGATTTGCATCAAAGGAAGGGCTTGATTACCGAGATGCCGAACTCGAAGGACCCAGCGACGGCGACCACCACCGCAATCGAAGAGGAGGACGAGGCGGCGCCGGACGCAGCTGAGTGGCAGGCGACACCGCTTCTCCCGGGCGCGGTGGCCAGGAGAAGCTTCTGCGCTTCTTGATCCTCTTGCTCGTCGGAGTCGGCCTGGGTTCTCCTCCTAGTCGGCGGTCCGGCCTGTGTTCTCCTCCCGGTCGACGGTCACTCCCTCGCCGGAGCAGGCGGCGCGCAGGAGGGCGCCGGTGCTAGCGGCGCGCGGGCGGGGCGCCGGTGCTGGCGGCGCGTGGGCGGGGCGCCGGTGCTGGCGGCGTTCTTAGGCTGGAGGGGTAGCAATAGGGTCTTGGGCTGGAGTTGGAAGCAAATTTGGGTCCTTATTTTTTGCAGACCAGCGTGCAAATAAAAAAAATAGGGGCCAATTTACATGCTGGGCTGGAGTTGCTCTAACACAGGCGAACCGCTATAAAAAGGTGACCGGACATCGATCACGCATTCACACTTCACAAGCCATAGCTAACCGAAGCTAGCTCAAAGCAAATCCTTACTAGTACTAGCACACTGTCTTCTTGCACTAGGCTAGGCATAGGGTTAATTAGTCGCTAACTAGCTGGTTAACCATGGCAGGTAGACCTCTCACTCCCTCCCAACTCATTGCCATCCTCTTGCTGGCGCTCCTCGTTACGAGCCACGCCGGCGGAATCGCCGTATACTGGGGCCAGAACACGGGCGAAGCAACCCTGTTCGCGACGTGCGCGTCCCGCAAGTACCAGTTCGTCATCCTCGCCTTCGTTTCCCAGTTCGGCCAGGGCCGGGCGCCACAGCTGGACCTGTCCGGCCACTGCGACGCCTCGTCGGGCGGCTGCTCCGACCTGAGCGATGACATCCGCTCGTGCCAGCGCCGCGGCGTCAAGGTCCTGCTCTCCATCGGCGGCGGCGTTGGCAAGTACGGCCTGTCGTCGGCCGCGGACGCGCGGTTGGTGGCCGCGTACCTCTGGAATAGCTACCTCGGCGGCACGTCGTCGTCACGTCCGCTCGGCGATGCCGTCCTCGATGGCATCGACTTCGACATCGAGCTCGGCAGCGCCAAGTTCTGGGACAATCTCGCCAGGTATACACTTTCGCTGCCGCCTAATGCTCGTCGTTGCATGTTCGTTTCGGGTTCACACATATATGTTCATGCTCTGATCGGACACCACTGACGCAGGGACCTCAAGGACATGGGCAAGAGTGGCAACAAGGCGGTGCTGCTGAGCGCGGCGCCGCAGTGCCCGTTCCCGGACGAGTGGGACGGCGCGGCGATCAACACGGGGCTGTTCGACTACGTGTGGGTGCAGTTCTACAACAACCCGGAGTGCCAGTTCAGCTCGGGGCGCAAGGCCTTCCTAGACGCATGGAAACAATGGGAGTCGGTGCCGGCGGGGAAGATCTTCCTGGGTCTGCCCGCCTCCAAGAGCGCGGCGGGCACCGGGTTCGTGCCCGCCGCCCAGCTGTCGCAGGTGCTGCCGCTCATCAAGGGATACAGCTCAGCCATCAAGAGCCACGTCTGAATGTCTGATAGTCTGATACTAGGAAATTGCAAGCGTGCATGTATGCGTCTGTGAGTGCGTGCAGCGCGCGGACGGTGCATTTGGAGTTGTGGTAGATAGTTTATATTTCAGCATGTTCGTGTTCGATCTTGTCTCGATGTGAACCGTAGCTGGGAGACTGTTATGTAGTACAGCAAAACATAGCTTTGCAATTTTCAGTCACCATCCTAGTAGGCTGTAGACCCTTTATCAACAAATAAAGCAAAGACCATTCGTCATTTTTGTGATCGTTTGTGACAATCCCGTGAGATTAATTAAGAAAGACAATTAAGAAAGATACTTCTCCATACTTCAGATAATGCAATGCATACTATGCATTGAAGGTAAAAGTGATCTATAAAAGATGAATGTGATCGTTGAGGGAGTAAGACGGTCATAATAACGATACCCCTACAATAAAGAAATAGCTAAATTCCTAAATCTTTTACAGTTCCGATAGAAAGATAGCATAGTCAGCTAGTATTCATACTGGACGAGTTCAGAGTTATTAAGACGGTGCTAAACGCGCCATATGAGTTTTTAGCAGATTAAACCCAAAATAAAAAATTTGAAGATACACCATCTTTACAGAAGATAGAGTAATCTGGGGGAGCATGGTATGCAGATACCTAAGGCTTGAATAGAAGTGAGATTACATATCCACTACAGTGTTTTTAGAGCAACAAATTGCTTGCTTAATACATGTTGATGTTGTATGACATATACAACATCATATGTTAGCTCTTAAAAAAGATGAATAAGTAAACAAGGATCTTGTGATACAGGAGGCTATAGAACAATTGCCTTTTGGCAATGAAGAGCAACAATAGCCCCATATGAAAGAAGTGCCACGAGGCCCTAATAGATCTCAAAGAATAAGGAAATCAGATATTTTTGGTGACTAAGAAGTAAAAGTTAAGAAAGAAATTCAAATATAGAGTGATTCCACCTTATTTGAAGAAGCCATGAGAGGCGTTCACTCGTCTAAATGGCAAGAAGCAAAGAAAGATGAAATGAAATCAATAAATACCAACGATGTTTGGGACTTAGAAGAAATTTTTAATGGAGCCAAAACAGTAGGTTGTAATAGATCTACAAGACAAAGGTGACTCCAAAGGGAATATAGAAATATATCCAAAGGGAATATTGAAAGCTATAAAGCACCACTTGTGGCGAAATGATTTACACAAAAAGAAGGAATAGATTATAATGCGCATGCAAAGATTCTTTTAGAATCATAATGGTGTTAGTGGCACATTACAATTTACAGTAACATCAGAAGGATGTAAAGACACATTCCTCAACGGGGATTTGTATGAAAAAGTTTACGTGGCATAACTCAAAAGGTTTTGTCGTAGAAGAAAAAGAACATAAAGGATGTTGCCTAAAAAAATCCATTTATGGATTAAAGCAAGCTTCAAGACATTGGTATTTGAAGTTTGACAGTACAATAAGAAAATTTGGGTTTAAAAAGAATGTAGATGATAATTGTATTTATGCAAAGTTTAAACATGGGAAATTTATTTTCCTAATCCTGCATGTGGGTAGCACCTTACTCGCTAGTAGTGGTGTTAATCTACTGTTGGAGAAGAAACAGTTCTTGTCCTCAAGTTTCAATAAGAATGATCTTGGTAAAGCGTCATTCGTTCCAGAAATTGAAACTTACCGAAACAAAAGGAAAAGAGGTATTAGAACTATCTCAAGTGTATATTTAGATAAGATTCTAAAGAAATAAAGTATATATGTGGGTAAACCTGCGCCTGTTCCTATAGTAAAGGGTAATAGTTTTGGGAACTTCAAGTATTCCAAGAACCAATGTGAGATCGATCAAAAGAACGTCCTATATGCTTCAGCTGTTGGAAGTTTAATGAATGCTTATAAGTAAGAACTTACCCTGACATAGTTTATGTATCCGGTATGTTTTGACAGAAGTCCAGTCCAGATATAGATCAATGGAATGGAGTTGAGAATGTTTTGCAATTGTGCAAAGATTTATAGGCCTCATGGTGAGTAAAAAAGAATAAGTACTCTCAAATAGTTGTGGGTACAAATATTAAATTTTGGCGAGATGTTTAGTGAAACCCACATAGTAGCTAACACTCGCAGTTGGAGTTTTATTGTGGAAAAGCTCCAAAGAAACAGTTGTGGTGTCATCAAAGATGTATACCCACAGTATAGCTTGTTATGAGGCTTAAGGACATGCGATATGGTTAAAAGAACTTACACCCGAAATTGATAATGGTATACAACAGCAATAACCATTTAAGTAGTTCGCTCCTATAACAACGGGTCAAATGTGCTGCCAAACACATTGACGTTAAAGTTATACGTTGTGAAGGAGAAAGTCCAGAATCATACTAAAAGTATTGAACATATAAGTAACAAGCAAGTGCTTGCGGATCCACGTACAAAAGGCTTACCACCCAGTGTGTTCAGAGAACACATAGTCGACATGGGTTTATGGGAAAGCATATGATTTTCGGACAATAAAGGGCCCAAAGTTAAAGAATCTGTTTCAGAACAGAGACGTGTATTGTAGATGTTAAATCTATCGGCGATTGACCGTGACGATGAAATATGCTCTATGCACTAATCTGTGATGGAACAAATAAAAGTGAAAGGGATTAAAGTCAAAGTTTAAAGTTAAAGTATGAGTTGAGATCAAGGGGGAGAATGTTGGTTTGATCTCCCAACCACAGTGGCCCAACGACCACTTGGGCCTTGACCTCGCGCCCTGATCGGTGGCGCCCAGTCCTTCTATGGCTGGCGGCCCCCCGTCACACTGCGCAATAAATAGAGGTGGGGGCCGGCGGCTCTCAGTACGAGGTTGGCCTGAGCCGTACGCCCCACAGGCAAACCCTACTCCGATCTAATAGAGGGGCACAGCCAGTGATGGGAAGCACCGCCGCCGCCACGGCACCGCGCCAACACCACTTCACTGCACCACTCCTTCTTCATCGTCCGTTGCTGCCCTAGCGCAGATCTTCACCGGCGAAGCTGTGATGGCCAGATCCGCCTCCTCAATGCCTACTGATGGTATGTGCCTAGCCCTAACTCTCCCTCTCCCTCTCCCTCTCTTTCCCTCTCCGCACACACCATTTCTACGAGAAACCCAATGAAACCCCACTGATCTACACCACGGATGGTCCTAAGATTGTAACAAATCCAGCCCTATCCTGAAACTAACAACTTATATTTCTTGGCTTGTTTTATTTAGGGATTTTCACAAATCATAGTATTTTAATTGAATATTTCCTTGGAAAGATTCATTTATTATTTTTTGAGCGAATAATAAGTCGACGTAAGTATGAGCTTGCTAATAAAAAATATACTACGTTGGTCGCAAAAAAAGTTTAATTATAAGATTTCTTAAATGGATTCATAGTCTTATGAAATGACCTTGGAGCCCCTAATTAAAGCTGTTAATGAATATTGAGGGCCTTCTCCTCAAAAAAAAATATAGAGGGCGACGATTGATTGGCACTCATCTATCATGCAGGAATACTACACTTTCACGAGCGAGACTTTGCTTTTTTTTATAGAGAAAGCTTTTATTAAAACCTCAAAAGTAATACATCGAGATGATACAAAGCCTTAGAGAGCAACTTTTGGCCTCTATCCATAGGCGGACTCACCTCCCGGCAACCCCGGCCAGCCGCCTGGGCTCCTCGACGAATACGCAATGAAACACAATAAAGTTGTTATGCTATCCGAAGGATTGAAATATATTTTTCTATAGCAAATACTCATCGTATTAAAATCTGGCCGGGCTCTAAAGCCTTCCTGGGTCCGCTACTGCCTCTATCTAACATGAGACAGCTAAAAAAAGAGCTGAAACCTGACACAATTTAGTGACTATCAATTCGTAAACTAGACCGCCGCTCATGTGCCTAGGAGAAAAAAATCCTTGGCCACCTGCATCAATTGTTGAGATACCACTAAATTATATCCTGTAAATCCGGCTTATGTAGAATATCCCAAGTACGTAGCCAGAGGGTAACCAAGTAGATAATCTGCACAGGAGAAATAAAATTCCTCTTCCAATATTGGTAGTTGTGATGTTAAGTTCACAGGAAAAGAACGGATCCAAACCAATCTATGTCCCAATGGATCCAAACCAATCTATGTATCTATTGTTTACCTTCAAACCCCAATTCCTCTTCCAAACTCCAATATTTTGTTCATCTGACGACCATAGGTGCCTTAGGCTTGCTAGTTAATCGTAGGCAACCCTGTTGTGTTCAGGGTCACATGCTTCTTCTGGGTGTGAGTTTCTACGATCTTTGCTAGTTTACATGAAAACTAGGTGTTCGATGTCCTGTAATCACGATATTTACCATTTGTTAGTTTGTTTATAAACCTAGCTATTCATCAGCTACAAGCGTGAGATTTATCCTTCTCGGACAGGAGAATACAACGAGCCCAAGAATACTGACTGCACAACACATTCCATACACAGTGTTTGCAAGGTCTTTGTGCACCTTGCTTCTTCATATCCCATCAGCGTGTGAGTTATACGCATAATAACAGCCCAATACTAATATATCAAGACTGCTGAAAGTTGCGCTTCTCATGTTAGAACTTCAAATTGCGGTGGAGCCTAGGCCTCTGCTAGTCTTCTAGAGTGGCATCAGCACGTGAACCGCCGTTTCCCGTTTTATGTCGCCGGTGTGGCTGCGCCTAACATCAATAGAACTGTATTTTTCATCGAGGCCCTGTTTAGTTGCATCCAAAATGTCAAAATTTTCAAGATTCTCCGTCATATCGAATCTTTAGACGCATGCATGAAGCCTTAAATATAAATAAAAAATAAAACTAATTACACAGTTTAGATGAAATCTACGAGACGAATCTTTTAAGCCTAATTAGACTATGATTGGACACTAATTGTCAAATAACAACGAAAACGCTACCGTAGCGTTTTGCCAAAAAATTTGGCATCCAAACTAACCCCAAGTGGGAAGTTGGAACTCGAAATCAAAGTACTGCTAAATCTGAAAGAAGGCAAGGAGCAGGCCCAGTTGGTTCGGACGGCTGTCTATTCCTTTGTCCAGCTGTACAGGGGCACTACAATCTTGAACCAGTCTCCTTGCGTACGTGCTGGCCCGGTTAATCCTTTGGATCTGCGACAGATTTGGGTGGTTTTTTCTTTTGGCTTATCAATCGAGTAGGACGAAGATGCGTGACTGTCATGACGTCGCTGTGCTCATCAAACAGTACCGATGAGCTCGTCCCCTTTGCTGTCTGAATTGGCGCAGGACGGCAGGAAGATGATTATTCATTTCGTCTCGCTATCCAAACAACAACCAACCGAGTCACTCAATCACCGGTAGAATCGCATTGGACCTCCGTCTTGTGCTCGGAAAGTTGCAAGACCTTGTGGGCCTGGCTGCCCGTGCAAGTGGACAACCACTGGCCTGGCTGCTCGGAAAGATGAGTCACCCGAGTAGCACCGAGGCCGACTTGGTTGCGATAAGCAGCACGTGCGGTTAATGCGCATGATCGCGTCAACGGAAACGCACTGTCCAAGTGTCCAGCACCTTGCCCTCGCGCACTGAGCATTTGTGAATTCTGAGCAGAGGCAAGCGCGCAAATTTCTAAGAGTTGGGGAGAAATGGTCGTCGCACTTGGAAGGCCGATCAGTGGAGGCCGCTGTTCCCCTCGTAACGACGACCCCTCGCGCACAGGTCAGCGGTCAACCACTGCCGACGCACTATCGTCGCCCCGTGCTAAGCTGCAAGAGTATAATATTTGACAATGCCCTGCTCTCGATGATAAGTCGAGAATCTCGACCACAAATTGCGCCATCTCGATCATGCCTAGTTGGCCAGTCAACTTGTGACGGCTACCACACCCAACGGATGCTAGTTGCGCACCACATTGCTCAACGGATTCATCATCAGCTATATAAACACCAGGGATCGACCTTCAAACACAATTCATACTCACTAGTCCATACCAAGAACTCGAGAAAAACAAGATGGCTAAAAGCAACATCCCGTCTCTGCCAATGCTGTTGGCCACGGCGCTTGCATTGGCCGGGCTAGCCGCCGGAGCGCGCGCCGGCGGCATCGCCATCTACTGGGGCCAGAACGGCAACGAGGGGACGCTGGCGCAGACCTGCGCTACGGGCAACTACAAGTTCGTCAACGTGGCGTTCCTCCCGACGTTCGGCAAGGGGCAGACGCCGGTGCTGAACCTGGCGGGCCACTGCGACCCGGCGAGCAACGGGTGCACGGGCGTGGGCGCGGACATCCAGGCGTGCCAGCGCATGGGCATCAAGGTCCTGCTCTCCATCGGCGGGGGGAGTCGGCAGCTACGGGCTCTCGTCGCCGGACGACGCGAGGAGCGTCGCGGCGTACCTCTGGAACAACTACCTCGGCGGCAGGTCGTCCAAGACCAGCAGGCCCCTCGGCGACGCCGTCCTCGACGGCATCGACTTCGACATCGAGAGCGGCGGGAGCCTGTACTGGGACGACCTGGCGAAAGCCCTCAAGTCCTACTCCCGGCGCGTGTACCTGTCGGCGGCGCCGCAGTGCCCGTTCCCGGACGCGTCGCTAGGCACCGCGCTCGGCACGGGGCTGTTCGACTACGTGTGGGTGCAGTTCTACAACAACCCGCCGTGCCAGTTCAGCTCGGGGCGCAAGGCCTTCCTAGACGCATGGAAACAATGGCAGTCGGTGCCGGCGGGGAAGATCTTCCTGGGTCTGCCCGCCTCCAAGAGCGCGGCGGGCACCGGGTTCGTGCCCGCCGTCCAGCTCACGTCGCAGGTGCTGCCGCTCATCAAGGGCTCGCCCAAGTACGGCGGCGTCATGCTCTGGTCCAAGTTCTACGACGACCGCACGGGATACAGCTCAGCCATCAAGAGCCACGTCTGAATGTCTGATAGGCTGATACTAGGAAATTGCAAGCGTGCATCTATGCGTCTGTGAGTGCGTGCAGCGTGCGGACGGTGCATGTGGAGTTGTGGTAGATAGTTTATATTTCAGCATGTTCGTGTTCGATCTTGTCTCGATGTGAACCGTAGCTGGGAGACTGTTATGTAGTACAGCAAAACATAGCTTTGCAATTTTCAGTCACCATCCTAGTCGGCTGTAGACCCTTTATCAACAAATAAAGCAAAGACCATTCGTCATTTTTGTGATCGTTTGTGACAATACAGCCCTATCCTGAAACTAACAACTTATATTCCTTGGCTTGTTTTATTTAGGGATTTTCACAAATCATAGTATTCTAATTGAATATTTCCTTGGAAAGATTCATTTATTATTTTTTGAGCGAATAATAAGTCGACGTAAGTATGAGCTTGCTAATGAAAAAATATACTACGTTGGTAGCAAAAAAAGTTTATTTATAGGATTTCTTAAATGGATTCATAGTCTTATGAAATGACTTTGGAGCCCCTAATTAAAACTGTTAATGAATACTGAGGGCCTTCTCCTTAAAAAAAACTATAGAGGGCCACGATTGATTGGCACTCATCTATCGTGCAGGAATACTACACTTTCACGAGCGAGACTTTGCTTTTTTTTTTTATAGAGAAAGCTTTTATTAAAACCTCAAAAGTAATACATCGAGATGATACAAAGCCTTAGAGAGCCACTTTTGGCCTCTACAGCCCGCCGTGCCAGTACAGCGCGAGCGCCGGCGTGGGCAGCCTGGCGAGCGCGTGGGCGCAGTGGACGTCCATCAGGGCCGGGCGGGTGTTCCTGGGCCTCCCGGCCGCGCCCCAGGCCGCGGGCAGCGGGTTCGTGCCGGCGACCGACCTCGTGGCGCAGGTGCTGCCGGTTGTGAAGAACTCCACCAAGTACGGGGGCATCATGCTCTGGTCCAGGTACTACGACGGGCTCACGGGGTACAGCAACGCGGTCAAGTCCCAAGTGTGAGCTAGTTACGCAGGCTCGTGTCGTGTCGGGCGTGTCTGTGGGGGTGGGGTGCACATGCGTCCATGTGCCTATAGTATGTGCGTGCGGGACGATGTACTGACGTCGCTTAAAGAAAGCGACGGGGGAGCAAGTTGCAAATAGTGCTTCTTACTTGTGAAACCATTTTTCACTTAGGCCGCTTTCGTTTGAAGGGAATGACTGCCGAAAAATATTCGAGGGCAAATTCATTATGTTCGGTCAACAGAAATGGTTCCTGACCCGGATTCAGTTGAACAGAACGAGCCATTACTCGTTGCGGGTGAACACCCTTTTCAGGTTTCAAGCAAAATAAAAAATAGAGTATATTCTGAGAAGAGATCGACCACACATGGCTGCTGCGCGTCACATAGGCGGCATACAATGCAACATTTCAGGTGCGTGCGTCGTGTAAGATCGAACGCTCTGCAGAGAAACGTGGACACAGCTTGATGGGCGTGCAACGAGCACGTGTCCAGTCCAGAATTCTCTCCATTGTTGTGTTTTTTGGCTGTATCTCCGGAACCAAGATCCAAGGGACCAAAGCGTACTTCGATTAGCCAGTTGATTGAAGCGACAAAAATACAAAATGCCGCGTGCTAATCCGGAACTCTCTGCTCAGTTGTGCTTATTACAGGGACAATCGTATTTCGTTAGCACCAAGTCCGCGACATGTCGCGTATGCCTCAAGCACTTGCCCTGCCGGCTGCTCCCAGCTACGGGCACGGTTTGTGCCCTCCCTGACCGTTCGAGGAGATGCGCGGCAACCAGGAAGCCATAAAGCCATCTTTTTCAGCTTATTTTTTCAGTCGAAACAGTATTTTTCTCTCCCAAAAAATTAGTTAGAACAGTGCTAGCTTTTTTTCAGCGAAGTTTGCACCTCGGCGATACCTCTACTAGAACATATTCCGATCCGAGTTTTCTACTTTCCTCGAGCACCTTCCTCTCATCACCGATGGCAGTTTCCCAAGGCCATGGCCCAAGCGTAGGCCAGGCTGCTTCTGGTCCACGCACGCCGCTCACCATCCAGCATCGGCTTTTAAATACCGTGCAGTAGTGCAGGGCTCGTGTACTGCTCATCTGGTTGCGTTGGCTGGCACTTTGTGAGACTTCACTAAATGCGCCAAAGCTGGGCCGGTCTGATGATGGCCTGGGCGCCGAACTACTGTAGCTCGAGGCGTCGGTTACTGTACCCGCGAAGGTGCTGTAGCAGACCGGCTTAGTACCACCAACTAGAGGAAGGGTTGAACCAACTTAAAAGCTTACCTCTGGGAGGCTATTAACTTCGATTTGAACCTTTTGCGCAAAGTAAGAACGAAAGCGCAAGAGAGTTAATTGACAGGCGTGGTCCATTCAACGTGTAGAGTGGATCTTAACCGTCTTCCCGGGTCAGGACGTTACAAATGGTAATCAGAGCCAACTCTCGGGCCGGGGAGCTGGGAATATGGACGTGGGCCAAGAGAGTCGATCCTGGACATTTGTCCCGTTTGGGTAGGTTGGTTCGGCCCTCGATGAGGACGTCAGGGTGGATGTATGTGAGACCCCACTAAATAGGCCAAAGATGGGCCAGTCTGATGATGGCCTGGGCCGCAGAGCTCTGGGAGACTATTAACTCCGGTTCGAACCTTTTGCGCGAAGCGAGGACGATAGCGTAAGAGAGTTAATTAACAGACGTGGTCCATTCAACGTGTAGAGTGGATCTTATCCGTCTTTTCGGATCGGGGCGTTACGCACTTCTTACGCCGTCACCACCTCGAGGACCAAAAAACAGGTAGGAGTACGTGTTGATCGACCCTCCACGCCCTTCTTTGCTTTCCATCCCTTCTCGTTTTCTGACCATGGATCTGTCGATTTCTTCTCCGTGGAACTCTGATCTTCTTGTTTGCACGATTGCAGCCAACAATCTCTAGTACGTATGGCGACGGCGGCTGCTGCAACGATGTACTCCATTCCCGTCCCGAGCGCCATGCGGTGCCGGACTTTCTCCACGTCGATCAAGACCGATGCCCCGCGCGTCGCTTCCCCCACGCCGCGACTGGCGAGCCTCGCGTGGGGCGCGGGCGCACGGGTTGCGCGGCGGTTCAGGGCGTCCGCGGCCGTGCACAAAGTGAAGCTGGTCGGGCCCGACGGCTCGGAGAGCGAGCTGGAGGTGGCCGCGGAGGAGGCCGGGCTGGAGCTGCCCTTCTCGTGCCGCGCCGGGTCGTGCTCCGCGTGCGCGGGGAAGCTGGCGTCCGGCGAGGTGGACCAGTCGGAGGGCTCGTTCCTGGACGACGCGCAGATGGCCGAGGGGTACGTGCTCACCTGCGTCTCCTACCCCAGGGCGGACTGCGTCATCTACGCGGACAAGGAGGAGGAAGTACATTAGATTGGTGCTACTGAGTAACGCAGCATTTGTAGACAGTTGCTATTCCAACCGTGGATGTTCAGAGAGATTATGAAGTTCTACGGTTGTGGTGTCTATGATCTGTGCGTTTCTTGAACGTTTTTTTTTTTTAACCCTCTCTACGTTGTCTGTCAAATATGATTAGTAGTTCAGAGATGGACGCCACAAAACAAAGTTCAGAATTCCTTGTGTGTTTGTCTGTTTGATACTCCTATATACTGTCTACTGATCAATGGAGGTTGCTTCCTTAAATTGATTATCAGACTGGACTGTATGGGCCTTATAAGTTGAAAATCGATGAGAGTCCAGAAAAGGTCCGGCCCAACAGACTTGGGCCCTTACTACACTGCAGATTCGTTGCTGTCACTTTGCTATAACTACGTTTTGCCCATAAAACTTCCCCGGTGTGTCATGGCCGTGTTCCTTTCACTGAAATTTGGCTTACGTCGATGCTTTTACTAATTTGCTGTGAGAGAAAAATACTATTTAATCACTGAAAAGTACTATTGAAGTAGTTCTCCAAAGAGAAAATAAAGAGAAAAATATAGAAAAATGAAAGAAAGACTTGTGTGATATTACGTTGCTCGTGGGATTCAGTTTCAGACCACGTACTACCTCGGTCCATAAAAAAATGGTAATGCTTCCGTGAGGACGTCTAGACGGACGGATGCAGCTTGCCACTGGCTGCCACGCCTTCCGCTTGTTCCCGTCAGTGCATCTTTAAAAATAAAAAATCTCTCTACCCATACCCAAGGGTGCTCGCGCTTGTCAGCTAGGGGTGCTCGCCAGCTGTTGGTCTGCTCGTGCTTGCTATGCACGCTATGCAGGAGGTGCTCGCCACGGGTGTTGCAGGGGTGCTCGCCGAGCGTGCTCGCTAGGTGCTCTCGCTAGGTGCTCACCCCGCGCAACGCCTCCGCTGGGGCACTGGCAAGCTCCATGAGCCGCCGTCGGCGTCGAGCTCGAAAGCGCAAGGTGACATTTGTCCAGCAGCAAGGTGACATTGCGTTGAAAGCGTATGTTGCAAGCGTATATTTCAGATGTTTCAGAGATGTGTTGTAAGTGTTTCAAATCGATGTTACAAAAGTAGATCGAGATGTTGCATATGTTTCAATGGCTATACACGCATGTTGCAAGGGTGTGTTCCAAATGTTTCATATGTTTTTCAAAAACATGTTGCAAGTGTGTTTGTTTTGGATGTTGCATATGTTTCACACATATGTTTTAAGTGTTTTACTTGGATATCGCATATGCTTGCAATAGTTTTTCAAGTGTTTTGCAACGTTTTGCAAGTTTTAGACGTAAGTTGCAAATATTTTAGCTGTTTCAGACGTATGTTGCAATTGTTTCATCTCGATGTTGCAAAAGTAGATCTAGTGTTGCAAAAGTAGATCTAGTGTTGCATATGTTTTAGCTGTTCGAACAGGCAGGGCAGCGGGCAAGCTGAGGCGACCAGGTGGCCGGGCGAGCAAACCGGCCAGGCGGACGAGCAAAGACGAGCAAGTGGCCGTGCGAGCAAACCGGCTAGGCGGGCCAGCAGAGACGAGCAAGCGGCCGGGCAAGCAGGCGGCCAGGCGAGCAGACGCGAGCATTGGCCGGGTGAGCAGGAAGGCACCGAGCGAGCAGACGCGCGCAGGCGGCTAGGCGAGCAGATGGCCAGGCGAGGAGGCACAGCAGGCCAGCAGGCGTGGGCATCCGTCCGAACGTCAGGGCGCTAGCCACACCGTAAAAAACGCAATTCTCGCATTTTCAAGAGATCAAATGCTTTCAAGTTTAACCAAATTTATACAAAACTACTAATATTTATGATACATAATAATTGTTATTAGATTAATTATAAAATATACTTTCGTAATAAACTAAGTTGAAGACATAAACGTGAATACTATTTATTATAAGTTTGATCAAACTACCATAGTTGCATTCTCTCGTAAATGGGGGAGTAGAATCCATGCAGCAGCAGAAGGCCAATATCATAGTATCAATCAACCATCGTTTGGTAGGCTAAAGTGGCTATGCTGGCACGCTATACACAAGATAATGGCTAAATAACCTACTGTATGATAACGACGTCCACATGATTGACTCCGAAACCAGTACATCTGCTTTTCCCTGGCCCGATCGGTCGGGGTGTTCGTTAGTTGGTTTGTAGGTTGATTTGGACTGGCTAGTACTGGTTTTTTTTTAGAGAAAAATACTATTGACTGATTGAATAAGATTGATTGAAATCAACAAACAAAGCCGAACAAGGTGGTTGATCAGACCTGCTGTGTTCCCGATAAGGTTCTGATTGCTTTCAAAGTTCAAACACCATGGGATGGGAGACAGCCGCCTTCTCTCATCAAAACGAGTCAACAAAACCACGCCATGTGAGAACCTCGCCAACCACGCCGGCGAAAGCTCTACCGTCTCAATCCGCCATGTGCATGCATCCCCCCTGAAACCCCATCCCCGCTTGCTGGCTGCTGCGCATCGCGGTGACCTTCCCTCACGCGCGGCGGCAGAACAGCGATCGTTCGATCAGGCCGTCAGATTTTACCCGTCGCGCGACTGAGGGTCACATGTTGCTTTGACCGGCTGACGTGGAGACATCCACCGTTTGGTCAGCCTCTAGTCGTGTGCAGCGTGCGTCCGGGTCCCTTTTCCGACGTGGCGACGATAGGCGTCCCTCCTCTGCGCACGTGTGGATCTGGCCGATAGCGGCCACGATCGTTCCACTTTTCACCTTCAAAACTGGCGCCGCCGGTGGCGTCGATCGGAGTGATCGAACGCTTGGTTCGCGTCTCGGCCAAATTGCCATATGTTCTTCATCAAGTGCATCTCTTTGGTTGACTTTGGGTATGTTTAGGATCACTATTGTTTTATTTCTGCTCTACTGCTAAAAGATCCATGGTAATATAGATCTGCTACGGATGGGGTCATGGGGATAAAAATGGATCGGATCGGTCTATTAGATAGTTGATCTGATTCACAAAATGACAAAAGTAAGACCAATGAATTACATGAGTCAGTTTTAAAGTCTAAATTTGTCGATAATGTCCAAACAAATTGGCTCAATGGACAACATAAGTCGACCCAGTCGTCAAATAACAATCTTTTTTTAATTTGTTGGTCTTTTTTATTTTTCAAATAAACAAGGTTAGCCATAACTTGTTAGTATGTTTATGCTTGGGAGTACATTAATGAATATCACATTTTTGAAGTGAAAATAGATAAAATTAAAATCATAGTTCACTTACATACTATGCATTGCTAATTAATAACCTTAATGTGTCATGATGATATTTTTCAATCTCATATCTCATCTTTTCTAAAAGTTAACAGTTACCTACATCACGGGTATCCACATCGCTCCGAGAATACAACTACGACCATGACCAAGCCCCCCTAGTCACCCTCGACCCGTATGTTTCGTAGCTTCGCGAGTGGCAACATGATGAACCCCTGACTCCCACCGCCAAGTTGGGAAGGCCCGACAAAGAGAAGGAGCATGTGCCACTCAGGGGGCTTCCCCTAGGGACCCACCTCAAGAGGGAAACAGACAAACTCGACAAGTTTCCTTCCGTAAGAGTGGCCAAAGCTTGTGATTATGACATAGTAACCCGAACGTAACGCACATAGTAACTCGGACGTGATGCTCACACCTATGCCTACTCACACCCAAGGCATGGGCATACCACCTGGCGCATGGCACAGGGTGCAACACAGCCCCACACGGTCGCACCCCCGCACCACACTGAAAACATGGACGGGCCTTACCTACAACTGTGGCGGCTCTCTCTCCCTCTATGAAGACACAACGCTAGAACTCTCGAATCCTCTCGTCTGTAATCTCTACCACGAACTTCGAGCACTTGAGTTCAGGAACACAAACGCCTCATCGGACTAGACGAAGGGCATTTCTCTGAACCAGTATAAATCCTGAGTCATCGAGCGCTAAGACATCTGACCAATATGCATGGCAATCAAATTTACTAGATAACGCCACAAAACGTTGCTAAAAGTGTTGATAGTATTCATGTTCATAATATAATAAAATGAATATTGGGTCGATTTGACCTCAAAAAAATATTGGGTAGATTAATATGATCGGTTGGACCAATAAAATTATACTAATCCGGATTAGTCGTAGACACATAAAGGCATGCTAGCTACTTTTATCTAGGTGTTCCTATCTGTCATTTTTTGTTATGGGGCCGGTGCTAGAATTGAGATTTCGACTTCCATCATGACGATCAAAAAGTGGTATAGCTTTCCAGTGGTTGTCAACATGACGCACCATGCATTGACATCGTGGGGTAGCAGAAGAAACTTCCGTAGTGTGAGCAGTTTTGCATTCTGAACTCTGTGCTATAGGCCTATAGCATGGATGACAGAGATGTGAACAGACTGGGAAATCAAATGAAATGATCCATATCTTATACTAATCAAACGCAGGTTTATCACGGCAGAAGGATCATGTCCGGACGCATATGAATGATGCGCTGTGTGCTGTAACGTAGTAGCCAGCCGCAACACGCACCTTCAAAAAATTATGTTATCGTTGTGCTACGGTTGCGTGGTTAGTTGTTCTATGTACGGCGTCTGTCTTGATGCAGGTGGAGCCTGAAGTCTAATGCAGTTTATGAGCGTTTGGACCCATCGTCCGCTGATTGGACAAGTCGGCAACGTTTAGGTGACGATTCGCACGGGAAGGGAAGCAGGAGTAATATTGATATCCCGTGTGGTCCAGTTCCATGATACCAGACCAGACCTGCTAAATTCGGTAGACCTGCCAGTGGCATCGTTTGGTTATTGGTAAGACACACAGTGCCCCAGTTTCGCTGGCTTCAAGAATATTCAGAACTACTTGCATGTTGGCATGTTGCATGTTTTCAGTCCAATCATCTGTAGCGACAGTAGCTACTCTGTACTGAGAGAGCAGCTCGAACTGATCTCCTACGAGTACGGAGTACCGTGGGACGCCATCATACTACTTGTATTATCGTCGGCATGGCTGGCACGTCAAGCTCCATACGATCTGTCATCTTTGTTTACTTATTATTAACTGGAAGAGAGACGTAGGATCCGTTGGAATTGAGAAGTGGGGACATGATTGCTGGATACGATGCAGCGCGTTCTTCAGGTTGCTTACAAAGACGCGCTTCCGGTTAAAATAAGCAAAGGGACGGCCGTTCACCACGCACGGTTCTCTTCAGAGTTCAGACTGCTCCAGAGAACAGCAGTCGTTCATTCTCTGTCCCCAATCCCCATGCATAACTGACTGGAACAGGAAGAAGGTTTACTTCCTAGGATTCCTCTTCTCGTGTCCGGCCAAGGGATTGGGAGCCAGGGGGCCTCAACAGCACAACTCAATTCAGTCACTTCATCTCCTCGTCAGATCAGACAAGGCTGTACGCTGACTACAGCATGCGGTGACGTGCGACCCCCGAACTGAAGCAGTAGCGGATCCGGCCAAAATTCCATTGATGTCATAAGCTACGACTACAAGCATGCATCAATTTACGGTGAAAATCATTGCGACCGACCAATGAACAGGGCTGGCTCCGCCCCTGAACTGAAGAACAGCCCTCCACCGTGCACGGGGGAAAAAAAAATCTTATCCATACCCTCAGGAAACAAAAAGAGGGAAAAACATATTCTTTACCGGAGTGAGAAAAAACAGAGCGTCACTCACTTGCTGGAGGCGTCGCCTTCCCTTGCAGCCTACTCATCTGTCTATCCATTGCTTCTCCTACACTAGTGTCCTTATCTATGGGTGAAAACCTAGCACTAGTGACTTCCCTACACCCTACTAATCTATCTTTCTACTCGTTGCATCTCCTACACTAGTGTCCATATCTCTGGATCAAAACCTAGCACCAATTCGTTTGGTCATGCGACGACGACATCGTTGGATGCGGCAAACCTTCTTAGAGGCATCATGTTAGGATAAGACTGTTGGTGTTTTCCGCGGTAGTGGTTTGCTGTCTCAGGGTGACCTCTAGCTGCGCCGTCGACTCAACGTGGTGCCATCTCTCATTTGTATACTCGCTAGTTGGGCAGAAGGTCCGAGTGGTCTTGGACACTGGATGGACGGGACATCTCTGGTTGAAAGAGTTATGGTGTTTGTCAAAGTTCTTCTTCGTTGAGTGTCTGAGTTGGAGCAAGACGCGTGCTATCTTCACTACATGAATGTAGCCGTTTGAAGATGTATGCTCCTAAGCTAGGTCCAAATAGATGAAAGCGAGGACGGAGAAGAAGTTTTGAAGCTTAGTCTTTCTAGCTTTTCTTTCTTAGTCCTTAAACTCTTTGAGCAGAGTTTCTCAAACCGTCGTCGCCAAATCTCACTCAGACTCACACGAAACTGCACATGAAACATATTGTCGAGATGCGCAACCAGCCTTGGGACGCCGAACACGTACGCGGCGACTGTGACTAGCGGAAGCACGGAACGGTCAATTGCGTCCATCCAGGCATCCAGCGGCTGGAAAATCTCTCCGTCCCCGGCCATTCTGAGTGTGCAGCAGGCGGGCCAAATCACACACACTCGGCGGGGAACGGAAGCAGGGCAGAAGCCAGAAGTGGTGGGCAGGCGCAGGAAAGCGTAAAGGGAGCCTCGGCGACCGACGCGCGCACGTGCCGGTGAGAGGCGGTTGTGAGTTGTGACGCCGACGCTCCGGGCCGGCCGACCTGGGAGGGAGGGAATTAGGGAAAGATATATTTTCCTCTTCACTTCCCTGCATGTAAACGCGACGCATTTATTTTACTGAAAATTTGCTAACGGGCATGGCGCCGTCGCTGGGATGGAGTAGCCGAGTAGGGTATAAAACCGAGGGGGGCGTCACGGCCACTGGGCCGGAGGGGAGGAGGCTCTATAGAACGTAACTACCACTATCTCTGTATCGGCGAGCAACACAACAGACAGAGGAAGGAGGAGGGGAGGCGGAAATGGGGCTCCGCGTCCGCGCCTCCTCGCTTCTGCTCTCCCTGGCTCTCGAGCTCGCGGTCGCGCTCGTCTCAGGTAATTCAGTCGCCGGCTTTGGTCGCTCCCTGCTTGCTTGTATTGTATCGCTGTGGATTCTTCGTCTTCTTGCTCGTGCTCTGCTTTCTGCCGCCACTGCTCTTGCTGTGCATCAGTGTTCACGTCGGTCTGTCCTCGTGAGTTGTTATATCTGTTCTTTCGAGTTCTGTTCTGGCACGATGCTGCGTTCCAGTTTCATTCTCTGTGACAAGGATACGGCGTTCTTTTCCGTCGCCAGTTTTGGGAACGATTAGAATTTCCAGTGAGGGGGACACTGGAAAGCAGCTGCGAACCAATAACATGATGGAGGCCTGAGCCTGAGGACGAGATCCAGCAAAGCGGACCAGAATTGTCTTCGCAAATAACTACGATGCCCTTCATTTTGTCGCGATTAATTGAGCGAGCCCGGTTGCTAACTTAAAATATGTTCGGCTGCTCGTAAAACCGCTTGTGCTGATTTGTATGGCTGATTAATACGGAGAGAAAAGTACTATACCATAACTTATAAATTATTTTATAAACCAGATTATAATGACAGCCGAACACTCGCTCAGCTCTGACGAGCATCCACAGTTCCACTTCCACCCACAGCTGCACCTGCAGCTGGTCCATTACACGATTTCTTTCTGAAACCTCACACTTCTAAGTGACCCATGTTCTCTGAATCATGAAAATTGTACTGTAACAATTTGCTGAAAATTCTGGTTTTACATCTCTAGTTGATACGCCTCCCTTGTCATGCGCTGCATCTTGTCATGTTCATGCCTGTACGATTCCAGCTGCATTAATTTATCACAGTGAGAGTTTAGATTCACACTAGCATCATAGCATTTTGCCATGTTTAGTTCCCAAACTTTGGAGTGGTAAAATTTCATTTAGAGCGTAATAATTGAAGCATGTTCGTAATTAGGTTGTACGTTTTGGTAAATTAATTTTTTAACCGTTGATTTATATTTAGGTATTAAAAACGTAATCTTCTTTTTAGGTATGTATTTTCAGAGTCCTGGAGTAACCAAACATATGTAATTAGTTTTTTTTTTATGAAAAAGAACATTTCGTCACATCAAATTTAATATATATATATATGTACGAAATCAAAAATGTGACGGAGAATCTTCTTTTTAGGTAGTGTATTTTTTAAGTCTTGGAGTAACTAAACATGGCCATAGTTGATTTCTAGCTCTGCCCAGGCTACTATGAATGATCATTCCGTCTGCTTCCGGATACATTATTGATTGTAGGTGTATAGGTGCTCCCTTCTCTTGCCACCGAACAATTTTTTAATCACGAAAGTGACTTTGCACCTAAAGCACTTCATGGGTCTGTCTGAAAAGAAAATTCAATTAAGTTCAGGGCAAAATACTACTACAAAATAGCATCAGCACTTTTACCGCGTGTTTAGTTTCCACCCTAAATTCTTCAAAAAATGCTACAGTATCCATCACATCGAATCCATCGAATCTTATGATACATGCATGGAGCATTAAATATAGACGAAAAAAAACTAATTGCATAGTTTGGTTAGAAATTACGAGACAAACGTTTTAAGTCTAATTAGTCCATGATTGAACATTATTTGTCAAATAAAAACGAAAGTGCTACAATAGCCAAATTTTCAACTTTCACCCAGCTAAACACGCGCTTAGTGCGCCATTACCGAGTGCTAATAATGAGCGCCCCCGCGTGTGTTAATCTGGCAGTGTCGGCGCAGCAGAAGTTCGGGATCAACTACGGGCAGATCGCGAACAACCTGCCGGAGCCGACGCAGGTGGCGAGTCTCCTCCAGTCGATGAACGTGAACAAGGTGAAGCTCTACGACGCGGACCCCCGGGTGCTGACGGCGTTCGCCAACACCGGCGTCGAGTTCATCATCGCCGTGGGCAATGAGAACCTGCAGACCATGGCGGCCAGCCCCGCCGCGGCGCGCCAGTGGGTGGCGACGAACGTGCAGCCCTACCTCCCGGCCACGCGCATCACCTGCGTCACCGTCGGCAACGAGGTCTTCTCCAGCAACGACACGGCCATGATGGCCAGCCTCCTCCCCGCCATGAAGGCCGTGTACGCCGCGCTCGGCGGGATGGGCCTCGGCAGCCAAGTGACCGTGTCGTCGGCGCACTCCGTGAACGTGCTCGCCACCAGCTTCCCGCCGTCGTCGGGCGCGTTCCGGGAGGACCTCGCGGAGTACATCCAGCCCATCCTCGACTTCCATGGCCAGACGGGGTCGCCGTTCCTCATCAACGCGTATCCGTTCTTCGCGTACATGGCGAACCCCGGGAGCGTGTCGCTGCCGTACGTGCTGTTCGAGCCCAACCCGGGCGTGCGCGATCCCAACACCGGCCTCACCTACGACAACATGCTCTACGCCCAGATCGACGCCGTGTACGCCGCCATGAAGGCCATGGGGCACACGGACGTGGGCGTGCGGATCTCGGAGACCGGGTGGCCGTCCAAGGGCGACGAGGACGAGACCGGCGCCACGGTGCAGAACGCCGCGGCGTACAACAGCAACCTGATGCAGAGGATCGCCATGAACCAGGGGACGCCGCTAAAGCCCAACGTGCCCGTCGACGTGTACGTGTTCGCGCTCTTCAACGAGGACATGAAGCCAGGGCCCACGTCGGAGCGGAACTACGGCCTCTTCTACCCCAACGGCTCGCCGGTGTACGCGCTCAACGCCGGCTCTGGCGGCGGTTCGAGTCCCGGCGGATCGCTCAACCCGTACTACACGTCCATGTTCTCCTCCTCGTCCAGATCGGCGGTGAGCGCAACCTTTTTGACAGAGAGAGTGATACTTTTACTGCTGCTGCAAGCAATTGTAATACTCCAACAATCATATTCATCATACTGTTAGTCAGTGATACTTTGTAATCTTGTATACGGAAATATGCATTTCAATTCAACCATAGGGTAGGCCTAGATTCGGCAAATTGGCACGACAGTGTGGCTGCTCCAAAAGCTCTGATCTTTTCTCTTATTCCCCCCCAGCAATGATCTTGAAAAGGTGACCTTTTCTTCTCTGTGCACAAACCTATCAAGATGTGGACACCTAAAGGTGAGGTTGATCGATGGCCGGGCATCGTCGAAAGCGCGGGCATTCCTGAGCTTTTGACCCAATGGACGAACCCAAACATACAGACTATTCGGTTGGCTGGTTCGTATCGTTGTTGGTTCGTGAAAAAAAATCTTTTTGGCTGATTTGTTGTGAGAGAAAAAAATATTCTGAAATTTGAAATTTACTACTATCATTATTGATGCGCCACGCCCAAACGAACAGACTATTAGCCGCGTCTTTCCAACCTGGCCTGATACCAGTTAACCAGTAGTTAACCTTTGGCGGCGGCAGCCTGAAACTGAAACTGAAATGGGGAATGTCAAAACCCAGCAGCAAGAGCAAACACAATCATCTCTAAATGTGGCCCCGTTCGTTTGGGTTTGTTTGGCTTATAAGCCATACTTTTTCAGCTAACGAACAATATTTTTCTCTCACACCAAATCAGCCAACAGTACTTTCAGACATGGCTTATGAGCCAAACAAGCCTAAATGAACAGGACGATGGATTTGCACTGACAACGAAGATGAAGATTTGCCTATCTTTGTGTTCTGTTGTCCTTGTGGCTTGCAATCGCTTGCAGATTGGCTCTGAGTCGACTTATAAGCCGGCTTATTAATCATGATATAATATTTTTTTCTTCTAACGAATTAACGGTATAAATTAGCAAAAGCGGCTTATAAACTGGCCAAACAGATCCGTCAACGTATCGGATGGGGGTGGTTGTCCTGCTCGCCGCATTATTCCTCTGATGAGGCTTCCTCCACACGTACCGCCCAGAGAGAAAGGCTCGCAAATCATTGGCAGCTTCCTTCCGACTGACGCAATCCGGTCTGAGTTGTCGTCGCCACTCATCAGTGCCGGGCGGGGCCGGTGCGGTGCGGTGCGGTGCATTGCCCTCACAGACAGCGAGGTAACGTCGGACACAGTGCAGTGACACTGAAATCATCTCAATTTTTCTTTCCCATCTCCTGTTCCTGATGCAGTTTAGTCTCAAAAAAGGCTTAGGAAAAAAAAACAAATCCCACATGACGATGAGAATTCAAATTTCCATCCCTACGGTGCGTGAGAGACTTGGGCCTCCTTTAAAACGCGGGAGACTTTCCTGCTGCGTTTTTCCTTTAAATAAAAACAAACTGATTCCTACGAAATCCATGTAGGATTCCTATAAAATTCTAGCGTTTGAAAGGACCCTAAGCGTTGCTCTCGGCTGAGCTCGTGTGGTTAGGTAACAAGTCCTGTCGTCCAAGAGACGACACTTTGGCAATTAGTTTCTGGTGAGCCATGTGATATGATGCATGCGGCAGACGAGTGGCGCCCCGTTTGTTGAGGCCCGGTCTGCAGTGCAGTTCAGCTGTTGCAGGCTTGCAGCTGGTCCCTGCCGTTCGTCCGGTGAGGGCGCCGCCCGAACGGACCAGCAGATCACCAAGAGCCGTCGAAACATTTTAGCGTCATCCGTAAGGACCCATCAAAATTCTCTCTTGCGGACTGTCGGGTATGGATACCAGAGATACCTAAAGCAAGTATAGCTCGAGACATATTCAAATGTCTCGTCGGACTCTACGGCACGTGGGCTCTGTCTTGCCCGACCTTAAGGCCGTGGGCTCCGTCTCGTCTGATCCCTTGGGTGCGGGCTCCGTCTCGCCGACCCCTAAGGGCGTGGTTTTCGTCTCGCCCAAGATCGTGGGCTCCGTCTCGTCCGACCTCGAGGACGCGGGTTACGTCTCGTCCGACAGGGACCTATACTGCCGCCAACCACTCCAGGTCCAAATGTATAGGTCTGAGTTAACACTCTGACACCAGGAAAGAGGCTAGCACGCCTCGATATAATCCGTGGCCATGACGGGTCATACCTGGAGATTCACATCAAGAACAGTGTTGGGCGTGTCGGTGCTGTTATGCCTAATCCTCGTACAGACGTTGACAGATGCGTTAGTTCACCACCACGTTCGCCGGGACGGAGTGGAACACCATGACCGGTAGATGACGCCTGCACATGGCGCCAGTGACGAACAGGACCGCGACATGGAGCCGTCCCTATTGACATCTACAGGATCGGCGGAACCCGCATGAAAGAGAAGAAGGACCCGGCTACCCTAGAAGCCTTCTTCTCTCTCTCCTCCTCTGTAACCCACGTTTTTCCTCCGCCTATAAAAGGGAAAGCAGTGTGTCCCATGAAAGGAGGATCTAAAACACAAGAGCACGACACGAGTACACGGCTGAGCGGTGAGCAAGCTCTCAGCACCCGTTCACTCCTTCCACCAGAGACTTGGGATCCTCTCCCTCTCTCCTCTGTTTGTAACCCTAACTGCAAACCAAGTGCCGGTAACACGAGTAGCAGCGAACTGGACGTAGGAACGTTTCGCCCGAATCAGTATATAACCCTTGTGTCCTCCGAGCACACCATCCGAGCCAGACGTGTAAATACAAATTTACTCGTCGGTGGTCCGAAAACACCTACAATTGGCGCACCAGGTAGGGGCTTTTTGCTCGTCTCGACGTCCACATCAGGCTTTGAATGGCTAGTCACGGCGTCAGCTGGGTCTCGGGCGCAACATGCACTTCGGGAACCTGGACTTTATCGTTACGACAGAGGGAGAGTTGGCGCAGGTTCCCGCCGCCATCCAGCCTCTCCACTCCGCCGGCCTCGACACGATCGCCGAGGCGCTTGACGAGCTGCAGCTGCACGCACCGGAGGCCCATGCCCCCGAGAGCGACCTGCTCCTCGGCTTCGATTACGGAAGGCTAGAGCGTCAGCTCAGCACCTTCCTAGGACCCCGACCGTCCCAGGAGGACCTACGCCGCCTCACATTCTTGTTCGCCAACGTCATAACACAGCTTGCCGGAGGAGAGCCGCTCTCCCCGGAATACCTCATTCGGAGCACCCCGACAGCGCTCCCGTTCGGTCTGCGCAACGCCGCAGAGACCGTTGGTCACCTTGTGGTGCAGCGCACGCCCCCATCCCCTACGAACAACGAGTTTGTGGGGATGACCGAATATGTCGTGAAATCTTTCCACGACCTTCTTGCGAGAGAATCGGAGTCGCCCTCCGACTCTGACTCCAACAGGGGGCGCCATCACCCCTTGCGAGAATGTTTCATGACAGGTACCCTCGAGGGATACATCGAAAGCATCCACGAGGGAGGGGCTACCCCAATAGACGACCTCGACGACAAGGTCGAGGGGGATGCAGGGGCCCCACCTCGCCTGTGGGTAGAGCAGCTGAAGGCGCGGCACCAAAAGCTCGAAGAAGCACGACTCCAGCTCAAGCAAGAACGCGCGAACCTTGAGTAGGAACGCACGAACCTCGAGCGAGAGATCGAGCGCCACGGAGACGGTGGACGTGCACGCGCCGTGGCCTACAACGTGAACCGGAGGATCATTGAGGACGACAAAGCCCTCCCACACTTCACCCGGGCAAGCCAGAACATCGCTGCCGCGGCGGCCTTGCTCCAAGGGCTTTCGGACCCTGCGACACCCGAGGATCGTTGGGCCCATCGTGAGATTCGTACGCTACTCGAGCGTGCGGCGGCGCAGCAGAACGAAAACTCGCTGTCCCAACGACCCGAGCTCGACGCCAGCCAGCGCTCGCCCTCAGAGCGACCCGACAGGGATGTGTCAGTCCACCAGGCGCAGCGAGGCGGCAGGCCACACGCCGTGGCCCCGTTGCATGAGCGTCTCAGCCTCCACCATGGCACTTGCAACACCCTGGATGCCACAGGCGTGCCTGCGACGATGAGAGGGAGGAGGCTAGCCGCGGCTACCACCCTCGTCGTGGTGGACGCTACTACAGCGGCGTGGACCGAAGCCCGAGCCCGACTTGCCGGGACATCAGGCATTTGGTCAACACATCCTCAACGCCGTCTTCCCACCGCAGTAACAACCGCCGATCAACATCCCAAAATACTCCGAGGAAACAAACCGCGGACTGTGGCTCGAGGATTATTGGCTTGCTTGCCAAGCCGATGGAGCGGATAGTGACAATTTTATTATCCGCAATCTTCCATTGTTCCTAGCCGATTCGAAGCGAACGTGGTTGGAACACCGTCCGTCCAACCGAATCCAAAGTTCGGCGGACTTAAAAGAGATCTTCGTGGGAAACTTTTAGGACACATACGCGTATCTTGGAAACCCATGGAATCTCAAAAAACTACCGATAGAAGTGCAGGGAAACTTTTTGTGGGTACATTCGGTGCTTCTCCTGATAGTGCAACGAGTTGCCCGGCGTCGTCGAAGCCGACATCATAGGAGCTTTCCTGTCCAGGACCACCTGCGAGTCCTTGGTTCACTAGCTGGGACGTAACTGCCCACGAACCACTAAGGAGCTCCTCGACATCGCCACCAGCCACGCCTCGGGCGAGAAGGCGGTCGGGGCAATTTTTGACCGCCCCAAGGGCAAGGCAAAGCGGGATGAGGACGCCAGCAAAGGCACCTCCAACCACCACAACAAGAAGAAGAACAAGCAGCGGTGCGAGGGCTCGCTCGTGGCCACTGCCGACCACAAGGGGGGTTGGAAGCCCACCAAGGATACCCCGAACGACTTCAAGATGCTGCTCAAAGGGCCATGCCCGAACCATGCTTTCCCCATCAAGCACCTATACAAGGACTGCGTCCTCATGAAGCGGTTCTTATCCGAAGACTCCAACAAGGGGGAGCATAGGAAGGAGCCTAAGCCGGCCACAAACGACGCTGAGGGGAAGGGTGGCGGATTTCTGACGCTGGATGTCTACCTCATGATCTTCGGAGGGTCAGCGGCCTATGACTCCAAGCGCCGCCAGAAGTTTGCGTGCCGCGAGGTCTA